CACAGGGTTCTCAGTGGATGATGTTTCATAAGTAGATTCCACTCATGGTGCCCGTGTGTGTGTCAGAGTAGAACTGTGCCCACAGAGTTCTCAGTGGATGATGTTTCTTAACTAGATTCCACTCATGGTGCCCTGTGTGTGTCGGAATAGACCTGTGCCCCACAGGATTCTCAGTGGATGATGTTTCATAAGGAGATTCCACTCATGGTGCCCCGTGTGTGTCAGAATAGACCTGTGCCCCACAGGGTTCTCAGTGGATGATGTTTCTTAAGGAGATTCCACTCATGGTGCCCCGTGTGTGTCAGAGTAGATCTGTGCCCACAGGGTTCTCAGTGGATGCTTTTCTGGGAAGATTGGTGGTGAAGTGCCGTCAAGTCAATTCCAGTTCATAGTGACCCTGTATAGCATTTCTGAGGTTGTAAATCTTTAAGGGAGCAGAAAACCTCATCTCTCTCCAGCGGAACAATTGGTAGTTTTGAACTGCTGACCTCAAGGTTAGCAGCCTGACTTTTAACCACTGCCATTGCCAGAGCTCCTTGGAAACCTATATCCAGGGCTTCTTTCTTCCTCGGTACCTCTGGGTGGGCTCCAGTCTCCAGCCTTCTGGCTAGAAGCTGAGTGCTTTAGCCCTTTGCACCTCCCAGGGACTCCAATGAAGAAGCAAGTCCCTGCTATTATGGGATTCTGGGAGTCCTGGTGATGCTGTAGGATTAGCGCTGGACTGTTAACCAGAGAGTAGGCAATTCAAACCCACCAGCCCCTCTTCAGGTAAAAGAGGGGGCTTTCTGCTCCCATAAAGATTTACAGCCTCAGGAACCCTAAACTGGGTCACTATAAATCCGAATCAACTCAGCTGTAAGTTGGTTTGATTTGGGTCTGTTAGGGGCAGGTACACCATCTGTGAAGTGAGGCTTCCAGTTAAGGTTTGGGGTTTTTTCTGAATATTCAAACTCTAGCAGTGGTGACAGGAAAGAATCTCCGTGTTAAAAAAATGTACAATCACAACTTTCTCAGCCTTCCTGCGTGGGTCTACCCACTTACCTGTGCCAATCACAAACATTCACGGAGTGTCTGTCAACTGTCACGCATGCTCGGGTTTTACAGGCACTAACCGGACCAAGCTCCCAACAAGCACGTGAGGTGGGCCCTCAGCATCATAAATCCCCAATTCAGCCACATGAAGGTCCACCCAGACCCCTTTTGTGCAGTCGCTGGAACACTGAATTTACTTTCAGGATTCTGAAGGTAAGCCTACCAGGAAAAGCTTGCTGAAGAGAGGCTAAGAAATGGCCAGGTTCAGACTGGGACGGAGTGGACCAGAGCAGCGTGAGAACGTGAGAACGTCTGCTAATCAGCTTGTTTGCAGGCAACAGAGCCGGTTTCTTGCTGCAGTGATTATGCACAGATCTAACTCACTACCCCTTTGCTCATTGAAAACTTCAGTTAAAACCTTGTTAACACTACCTTTAGAGCTGGTAATATGTGCATTTCTTTAACACCAAAACAACAAACCAAACCTGTCTCCTTGGAGTTATTGCTGACCCATGGCGCCCCCTTGTGTTACAGAGTAGAACTGTTCCGTAGGAGTCCATCATATTTATGGAAGCAGATCACCAGGTATTTCTTCTGCAGCAATCCTGTGTGTGTTCAGACCATCAACCTTTATGTAGGTAAAAGGACGCAGCGCTGTATAAATGTAAAGACTGATTAGAAGCATTTGATTTAGGTTTCTGTGCTAAATTCAATGAAGGTTTCTGCACTAGGCTAGACAATGGCCCTAAAGATGTCCAAGTCCAGCCCCCCGAACCTATGAATAAGTCAGGTTCATGACAAAGGGTAACTAACGTTGCTAATCTGTTCACCAATGAACCCTGGTAGCACACTGGTTAAAGTTCTCAGTGGTGTGAATCCACCAGCACCTCTGCTGAATGAAAATTGGATAGCTGAGTCCTTCTAATGTTATACAGCCTTGGGAACCCTCTGTCCTATAGCGTTGCTCTGTGTTGGATTTGCCTCCATGGCAATGTGTTTAATCCGTCCATCTTTTAAAGAGGGATTATTCCAGATTATCCAAGTAATTACAAGGGTCCTTATAAGTGCAAAAGAGAAACAGAACAGAACAGAATTAGGGAAACAGATGTAATATTGAAGGAGATCAGAGACATCTTTGGATATGGAAGAAGGGTTTCGCATTCATCATCAAAAAGATTACAGTACACCGCTGTCTGTGATAGGATAATAGCCATATGCCTACAGGGAAGACCAGTTCATACTACTATTATTAAAATTTGCCCACCAACCACTAAAGCCATTGATGACGAAATTGAAGAATTCTACCAATTTCTTCAGTCTGAAATTGATCAAACATACAATTAAGACGTACTGCTAATTACTGGCAATTGGAATGCAAAGGTTGGAAACAGTACTGACTGGATGGCATCGAACAACAAAAATCAGGCTAAATAAGAATAGTATGCACGTGACTCATCTGTCGATTTCTCAAAGACACTGTTAGGAAGAGATCCCGTCCGTGACCCGTGGACTCCCTGAATCAATGTGTGTGATTTTGAAGCGCCCACTCATTGTTACATCAGAGCTAGGAAATAAATGCAGCTTTCGAGAAATAGCAACTCTCCATTGTTGTGTTCATGTCCATCCTTTATGGAGTATTTGATGAATTCCCTGCATGATGGCATCAATTACAACTGGCAGACACAGAATTTGGGAGCAAACACATCTGACATTTGCTTAGCAGACCCAAGGCATGGTGGAGGGAGACATGTGAAGACTTTCTAGGAAGTAACTTATGAACAGGGTCAGTATGTCATGGGCCAAGGGCAACCTTCATCAGATGGTATGAGGCAGGTGAACAGGTGAAGCACACTTCTGCTGTACAACTGATGTGCAAAATCTGCTACTGTTACCTCTATTCATACTGGTGTGGCGCTGTAGGATCAGCATTGAACTGTGAACTATAAGGTCGGCTGTTCAAACCCACCAGCTGCTCCTGGGAAGTCCTGGACAGTGTCGCTATGAGTCAGAATAGACTCAAGGCACTTAGCAGCAATCATACTCATTACCGCAGTAATATTAAGAGAAACAAAGGGTAGCTCAGTGGAACACCAGGCAGCAGTTGATAGCCTGTGGCCATGGGACATATACAAGGTCCTACTGGGAAAACCAATGGATCAAGAGTCTGAAGACTTGAGCTTGAGTCCCAGTTCTGACCCTTCCTGTGGAAGTAACAAAGCCAGTGCTCTCAGCGTAAAATGGAAACCATAATGACCCATTACTGGAGGTGACTGTCACAGAAGTCAAGTTTCCATGTTTGGTGTTGTGGTTGCCATTGAGTTGACTCTGACTCATGGAAACTCCACAGAGAACAGAGTGAAACACTCCCCAATCTTGCACC